AAGTGTCCCTAAGTATGGATGAGCTATTATACCCTGCTCCAGAGGCAGGCAAGGAGGAACTTGGCAACTCCGGATTGTTGGACCCACTTCCTGCCAGCTCGGAAGAGGAAGAGATTGATGTTGTGGACTGGACGTCAGAGGGGAGGCTGGTGCCCACGGGTATTCCTTCTGTGTGGCCCGACCCTTCCTCAGAGTCAGACACAGAGGTAGACATACTAACGTAGAACAGGTAGTGCAGGTTAGCGGCAGGGGGAGGGTGGGAAATGTTGACTAGCGAAAGGTGTATTGGTAGAGGCTAGCACGTGCCCTGTCCCCTTAGCAGGAGAGGTGGGTGTACTCCCAGCTCTTGGTCGGTCCCTTCCTCTCCTCCCCAGGCTTTGGGAGCCAAGCAGAAGTAGTACCATGGGTACAGAATTATGAATCTGAACCATCTTATTTCTTTGTAATCTATTTTCCAGTTAGTGATAAACAAGTCAAACTATAAACTGTGTGGTCCCCAAATCTACTAGGTCATAAATAACCAACGCCAGGTATCCTAAGTCATAAGACCTCTAGTCACTGCTAATTTAATAATAAATGAGAAAAAACACCCTCTGAAACAAAGCGTTTCAGAAGGTTCGAAACAGTGCTGGGGTGGGACAACTGGGTAAGTAAGAGTGACAGGACATTTTCCAGTACCTACTGTGGGTCTTATTCAATCCATTATTGAAGTTCCAGTCAAACCTCTGCAGGGGCCAAAAAGATAGAACTCCCATCATCACTTCGAAGAAGTGAGTTAAAAAGAAATACATGCTTTTAAAAAAAATAAATTTACTTTTTTCCCATAGTTTTTGCAAGTATTTCACATGCTGTGCCAGACAGCCTAGGAGCTCCAGGATAATTGGTGACCTTAGAATATGAAAAATAGAAAGGGAGCCAATCCCACAAAAGGCTGAGCTCTGTCCATCTAATACCATAACATCAAGTTATTACTCAAATACTTTGTTTCAATTTTTATTAGGCAAACCAAATCCAAGAACTTTTCAGTGCCTTACTAGAGGGCTGCCTCACAACTGAACCATCATTTCTGGAGGGGAAGAAACCAGGGCTTCAGGCACATGACTGAAATTTGGCCATGTCCCGTCATAAATGCTCCAAACGTCACCAGGGACCGAAGGCTGTGAACATGAGAAGGGAAAAAAAGGGTTAGAGAAGGGGCCCAGGCAATCCTAAAGCCTGAGAAAGATGTGTCCCCCACCCTGGAGCCCACAAACCCAGGAGAGTTCAAGGATTGCATCCTACCGCCACATTTCACTCAGCTCATCAGTCAGCTGTCAGTGCCTGACAACATGCAGGAGCATTAGGGATAAAAAACCAGTCAGATCCTTGGGCCAGAAGTGACAGTACAGTGGTTCTCCCACGGGATCAGGAGAAGGACAACCGCATCGTCCAAGGGCACAAATTGCATTTCTATAGGGTCATTTACATTACCATCAGCATCCTACGACTTAGCTCAAGGACAGTGAAACGTGCAGTTTAGCCAAAAGCACACTGATAAGAAACAATTTTATTGCCGACTTCTAGCTTTCCTACCACTAATAAGGGGACATCCTGAGAGCAAGAAGAGTTATGAGTGGTAGATCCCGTGTGATATGGGGTAGAGAGAGGGCTGCTTCGCAAATAGCCACAATCCACCCCTCCCGCCCCCTTCAAACCTCAGCGTGAGGACTTCTGCTCAAAACACCCTACGAGAGGTACTTCTTCAGCTCCTTCACCACCTCTTGAGGCTCAGGGAACTTGAGTTTGCGTGGGGGCCCCTTCTTAATCCCAGTCCAGAGCTCCACACCTGGGAAAAGACCGAGAGCGAAGTCACTTCGTCGTGCACCAGCCTCTCCCCCACATCCCGAGGGCCGGCGGTCTGAGACCGGCGCTTCCCGCCTGCCCCCGGTCCCGGGCGCCCACTCACTGCTGCCGTCCGGGCGCAGCAGTGTCACCTCGAAGCTGCCCCTCCGAGGCCTGGCAGGATTCACTTCCACCGGAAGCTCCGGGGTGTCCAGGCGCAGCGCCTGGCTCAGGGCCGCGGCGTTGCGCCCGTAGACGCGTCAGCTCGTGCTAGGGAGAGACGGGGAAGCTCAGAGGCCGGGGCCTTGGTGTGCCCTGGCCCGCCTCCCCTTGCCTCTCCAGGCCCCTCACCAATGCTCGATCACGACGGTCGCCTCCTCCACTCTCTTCCGGTCGCCCGCCGGCTTCTCCCGCTTCTCCGCCGCCGCGACCACCTCCGCTTCGGCCTTCCGCTTCCTGCCGCGGGAAGCCATGGAGCCGGGAGCCGGGCCGACCTGGGGGGAATAGGGTGGAGACTCGGGCACCAAGAGGGCGAGGACTCCGGCCGGAGCCGCTCTAGCCCCAAACCACAGTCCAGAAAACCCGCCGCAAGGACCAAGCCCCTCCCTCGCTGCGGAAAGCGTGGCCGGGGCGCACACGTGGCCTGGAGGCGGGTTCTCTGGGCGCAACCACTCAGCCCGCGGCCTGGGGGTGGGGGGGGTGGGGCCCTGGGCGCAACCACCCAGCTGGAGCCCG